AGGAACTCTTGGAGAAATGACTGGTTTTAGGTCTAAGGCAGCAAATGTACAAGTTAAGCCTGAAGCTTTTTCTCATACCAGAAAGCAGGAAGTTAGCAAAGACTACTAGAACCTTGTCGGAAAAAACTCAGAAGTCAGTGATTTAAACTGTGGATCAAATGTTTTTAAATCTGTAAGTTCATAATTACACTTCAGAAATAAAAACCTCATTGGTCATGTTTGGAGACTATTAGGAAACTTACCTCTTTGTTGTGAAAATCTGAAGATATAGGGAAAGAATCAGGCATCTATCTTGCCTTTCTTATATAATCAATATCTCAGAGAGGAAATTTCTCTTTGTAGAATTATTCTAGTTAATAAATCAAGAATAAATAGAAGAAAAGAGAGAACCCAAATAAACAAAATGAGAAATGAAAGGGAGAAATAACAACCAATACCACAGAAATATAAAAAGTCACAGTAGAATACTATGAACAGTTATATTCCAACAAATTGGACAAGCTAGAGGAAATGAACAAGTTTCTAGAAACATGCAGCTCACCAAAACTCAATCAAGAAGAAACAGATAATTTGAATAGATAGAATTCACTAGAAGTGAAATCAAATCTGTAATTACAAACCAAACAAACCAACCTCCCTGCAAACACAAGTCCAGGACTATGTGTCTTCACTGGGGAATTCTACCAAACATACAAAGAAGAACTTACACCAATCCTTGACAAACTTCTTCCAAGAGATTGAAGAGGAGGGAACATCCCTAAAGCCATTCTGTGAAGCCACCGTCACTCTGATACCAAAACCAGACAAAGATAGTACCGGAAAGGAAAATTACAGGCCAATATCGTGGATGAATACAGATGCAAAAGTCCTCAACAAAGGATCATACACTATGGTCAAGTCGGATTTACCCCAGGGCCACAATAATGGTAAACATATGCAAAGCAATCAATATGATATATCACATCAACCAAAGAAAACACAAAAACCAAATAATCTTTTCAGTAGATGCAGAAAAAGTATTTGGTAAAATTCAGCATCCATTCATGGTAAATACTTTCACTGAAATGAGTATAAAGAGAACAGATATCAGTATAATAAAAGCTATCAGAAACCCACAGCCAACATAATACTCAACAGTGAAAAGCTGAAACCTTTCCTACTGAATTTTAGAACACAACAAGGATGTCGACTCTCACTTCTATTCAACATAGTATGGGTAGCCCTAGCCACAGCAATTGGATGAGAAAAAGAAAGAAAAGGTATCCAGGTTGGAAGGGTAGCAGTAAAATTGTCATTATGTGCAGATGACATGATACTCTCTATAGAAAACCCTAATGACTCCACACAAAAACTATCAGAACCAATAAACAAATTCAGCAAGGTACAAGATTAACATACAGAAATCTGCTGCATTTTTTACACTAACAATAAAATATCAGAAGGGGAAAGTAAAAACAAACAAACAAACAAAACCTTTTAAAATCACATCAAAGAAAAAACTAAGGAATACACCTGACATAGGAGGTGAAAGAGTTACATGCTAAGAGCTATAAAACACTGATAGAGGAAATGGAAGGTGATTCAAAGAAATGGAAAGATATCACAGGCTCTTGGATTAGAAAAATTGATATCGTTAAAATGACCATACTACTCAAAGCAATCCACAGGTTTAATGCTATCCCTGTCAAATGACCTATGAAATTTTTCACAGAACTGGAATAAATAATCCTAAAACTTATGTGGAACCAGAGAAGACCTAGAATTGCCAAAGCAACCCTGAAGGGAAAGAGCAAAGCTGGAGGCATAACCCTCTCAGACTTCAGACAATACTGCAAAGCTACAGTAATCAAAACAGCATGGCATTGGCATAAAAACAGACATGTGGATCAGTGGAACAGAAGAGAGAGCCCAGAAACAAACCACACACCTGTGGCTAACTAGTGTTCAACAGAGGAGCCAGGAGGACACAATGGGGAAAGACAGTCTCTTCAGCGAGTGGTGTTGGGAAACTGGAACAGCCACATGTGAACCAATGACATTACAACACTCTTACACCGTACACGAAAACAAATTCAAAATGGCTCAAAGACTTAAATATAAGACATGACACTTTAAAATTCCTAGAAGAGGACATAGGCAAAACATTCTCTGAAATAATATTGCAGCAATACTTAGGTTAGTCTCCCATGGTAGTAGAAATACAAGTGAAAATAAACAGGAGCTACTCACGCTTACAAGCTTTTGTATAGCAAAGGAAACTATAAACAATACAACCTACAGGATGGAAGAAAAGATTTGCAAATGATGCAGCCAACAAGAGCTTAATTTCCTAAATATACAGACAGTTCATTACAGCTCAATATAAAAAAATAAACAGCCCAATCAAAAAATAGGCAGAAAATCTAAATAGACATTTATCCAAAGAAAATATATAGCTGACCAGTAGACATATGAAAAAATACTCCACATTGTTAATTATTAGAGAAATATCAGTAAAAACTATGATGAGATATCATTTCATACCAGTCAGAATGGCCATCATCAAAAAAATCTACATGTAATAAATGCTGGAGAGGCTGTAGAGAAAAGGGAACTAACTCTCCTATACTGTTGGTGAGAATGTAAATTGGTATAGTCACTATGGAGAACAGTATGCAGGTTCCTTTAAAAAAAAAACCCAAAATAAGGAGTTCTTGGTGGTCCTGTGGTTAGGACCTGCCTCCACTGCAAGGGGCATAGATTTGGATCCCTGGTTGGGGGACTATGGTCTCACAAGTCACACGACCAAAAAAAAAGCAACTAAACTGAAACTATAGTTGCCATATGATCCAGCAATACCACTCCAGGGTGTATATACAGGAAAGATGAAAACTCTAATTCAAAAAGGTAACATGCACCTCATTGTTCATAGCAGCATTACCTGCAATAGCCAAGACATGGAAGCAACTTAAGTGTCCATTGACAGATGAAAGGGTGAAGAAGGCGTGGTAGACATTATCAGCCATTAATAAAAAATGAAATATTGCCATTTGCAGCAACGTGGATGAACCTAAAGATTGTCACACTAGGTGAAGTGAGTCAAAACAGATAAAGACAAATATTATATCATGTGGAATCTTAAAAAAAAATACAAATGAACTTATTTACAAAACAGAAACAGACTCACAGACATAGAAAACAAATTTTTGGTTACCAAAGGAGAAAGTTGGGGGAGAGATAAATCAGAGGTCTGGGATTAATATATACACACTAGAATATAGAAAATAAAGACAAGGACCTATTTTACAGCACAGGAAACTATTCTATACCTTGCAATAACCTATAATGGAAAAGAATCTGAAAAAGAATATGTATATATATGTATATCTGAGTCACTTTAATGTACACAATATTGTAAATCAACTATACTTGAATTTAAAAAAAGAATAAGAGAATATCACTTTGAAGTCTCTAAAGAGTTGGGTTTTGGTGGTGGTGTTTAGTTACTAAGTCATGTTTGACTCTTTTGTGACCCCATGGATTACACAGCCCGCCAGGCTACTCTGTCCATGGGTCCCAGGCAGGAATGCTGGAGTGGCTTGCCATTTCCTTCTCCAGTATACACCTGTTAGAATGGCCAAAATCCAAAATACTGACACCACCAAGAGTTGGTGAGGACATGGGGCAATAGGACTTTTTATTCATTGCTGTTGGGAATGCAGGATGGTACAGCCATGTTGTGAGACAGTTTGGCAGTTTCTTATAAAACTGAACACACTCTTACCATATGACCCAGATCAATCGTGCTGTTTGGTATTTATCCTAATTAATCAAAACTTAACAAAAACTTGCACGTGAATATTTATAGTAGCTTTACTCCTATTTGCCAGAACTTGGAGGCCACCAAGATGTCTTTCAGTGTTAATACATTCAGACAGTGCAGTATTATTCAGTGCAAAAAAAAGTGAGCTCACAAGTCGTGAAAAGACACAGAGGAACCTTCAATGTGCATTAGTGAAAGAAGCCACTCTGAAAAGGTTATGTACTGTATGGTTCCAACTGTATGACCTTCTGGGAAAGGTTAAACTATGGAGACAGTAAGAGGGATCAGTGGTTGCCAGAAATGGTAGGCGGGAAGGATGAATCGACAGAGCAGAGAGGATTGTTTTTCTTTAGGATTCTGTGTGATACTGCAGTGATAGATACATGTCACTGTATGTTTGTCACAGCCCAGAGAATATACAACACCAAGAAGGAACCTAATGTAAACTATAGAATTTGGGTGATGAGAGCGCATCAGTGTAGGTTTGCTGATTGTAACAAACTTACCAGCTGGTAGGGAGATTGTCAGATGAGGGGGTATATGGGAAAACTCTGTACTTTCCACTCGGTTTTGCTGTGAATCTAAAGCTGCCCTAAACACATTGTTTATTAATTAAAAATAGGAAACCAATCTTACCAAGCTATAGCTATCAAAGTATTTTAAGCAAAACAAACCTTCTCTGTTACTTTTTCTGCAGCCACTGTGTGCCACTCCAGAGAAAAGTTGGGGGAAGTAGTAGGTGTCACGGAATGGTCAGAAGGAGAATATTAAAGTCAGAGATGAAGGGGGGACTCATGCAGTCAGTTCCAAATACTTTCTGCACAGTTTTTTCTTTTTCTTTTTTTTTGCTTTATCCAAAGTTTTTAGGGTTAGAGACTACTGGTGAAGATTTTTTTTTCTAATGAAACATGTATGTATCCTATTTCTGAAGGGAATTTCCTTTTCTCTAAAGCTGATTAAAAAAAAATGTTCCCAACTCATCTTCTAAGTGAGACACTAAATTACATGAGACATTAGGAATCTTAGAGCCTGAACAACATTTGAATCAAATTGAAGGAGATATAAAATGATGATGCATGAACCATATATGAGTTTTAACCATATTAGAATTCTGCTAGAGTTGGATGGATGTCTGTCATCTTTCTGAGTTCATTTTTTCCTTGTAGGTAAATGAATGTTGTTTGTTTGTTTTTTCTAGTTGGGGAATGGCAGTCAATGTGTATTCTACCTCGATAACCCAAGAGACTATGAGCAGACATGACATCATCGCTTGGGTTAATGACATAGTATCTTTAAACTACACGAAAGTGGAACAGCTTTGTTCAGGTAAGAGAATCTTTTAAGTATTTACCTAAACATTTACTCATGTGGAATGTGATTTTATAAACCACAGATGACGTATTTGGAATTGGAATATATATATATACATATCAGCTTCAATAGATAATTTAAGGAGAAAACCTCAGGTATAATTAAAGAACATGTTGGGGAAAATGATGATGTTCACCAAAGAGCATTGAGCCACCCCAAAACATGTTACGAGTGATCTCGCCGAAGCTCTGTAACTGGTCTCCCAGCCTTTTCTCTGTCACCCCCCCAGTAAGCCACCACACATCTCTTCCTAAAAATGCAGATTGGATCCTGCAAAATTAACCATTCTGGGTACCACGTTGTCCTTCCTACAGGATAAAATTTGCTGTTTACATGACTGATAAGGTCCTTTCCCTCTGGCTGCTGTCCATCTCCTCAGTTTCATGGTCCACATCTCCCTGCCCTGCGCCTCTGCCCCACGATACTCTCTTGTTCCCTAAAGACTCCTTCCCTTTTGCATCGCATGGATTTTTTTCATGCTCCCATTGCCAAGAAGGTCTTTCCCCTTCTCTTCATTTGCAGTAAAATCTCGTTCACACTTTAAAATCCAACCCCATTGTCATCCCCTCTGAAGGGTTCCCCAGACCTCCCAGGCTTCGTGGTGTTCCTGGAGCACTGTGCCCACCACCCTTCCAGAGTAACGCCTACCACGCTGTGTTAGACGGCCCCGCTCTTATTCCCCGGAAGGCACCCGGAGCCCTTGAGGGCAGGACTGTGTCTCATTCTTTGTCAAGTGTCTGAGTCGGCACCCTCCTGAATGAAGTAGGTGTGTAAGGAGTGCATATAGAGCTAAATTAAAAAAAAATTTTGATTTCAGTGATTAAGTGGGGGCTTGTTAAAGAACATGTCACTAGTGAAGTAATTCATTCTTAGGTTAGAGTATTTAGCAGAGACATAGTCTTCCTTTTGGAATAGGAAGTATTTTCTTCTTATGAACTAATAGGTGAGAGATTTCCTCTCTGCCTCTGACCCAAAGTGATATTCGAGACTAGAAAATATTCCTGAGATGGATTCGTGTGAAATCCCATGAGACATGATCGATATGGAAACGTCTTCAGGTGTAGCTGGTGCGGCGGTGCTGGGGCCACAGCAGGACATCCTGTGAGTCATGTGTAGACAGATTTCATGCAGGCCCGTCAGCCCCCACCAGTCCAGGCCCACCAAAGAGGACACTCTCACTTCTCTGCATCTAGGCTGGATCAGAATCAACTAGTGGACAAACTTCCCTTCGACTTACACCCCTTCTCCCATCGTCATTTTCTCATGAGCAAGACAGTCAGGTATCCAGAAGCTCGGCCTTGCCTGACCCACCTGCTCTGTGTCCAGGCTTCAGGCATCAGTCCTCTGATTTGGGAGGTCAGTAATGGATGCAAACCAAGCAGTTCTTTACCCTTTAGTATGATCTAGAGAAAGCCGACTTAGACTATGATGACACCCAGGAATGATGTGTTGTTTGCCTATTGAAATGACTCTGGCGATGCCTGTCAGAAATGGCCCCTGTTGCATCCTGCTGCAGATCTCCACTCAGTCAGGTCTTCGGGTGCTGTTCTCGCTCTGCATTCGGAATGCCCTGCTATTTTGTTTTATTTCTAAAAGAAAGTATTTATGTACGTGTTTGGTTGCGCTGGGTCTTTGTTGCTGTGCATGGGCTTTCTCTAGCTGCAGGGAGCAGGGGTCTGCTCTTCGTCGTGGTGCGTGGGCTTCTCATTGTGATGGCTTCTCTTGTTGCAGAGCTCGGGCTCTAAGTACTTGGGCTCAGTAGTTGTGGCGCTGGGGCTTAGTTGCCTGGCCACCTGTGGACTCTTCCCAGACCAGAAATCGAACCCATGTTCCCAGAATTGGCAGGCAGATTCCTATCTACTGTACCACCAGGGAAGGCTTAATATTTTATTTTTAATTTGTTGGAGGAAAAAAAAAAAAACCCAGAGTGTTTTCTGTTCTCAGCCATCCCTTTTCTATTAATAACAAATACCACTTTACATTGTAACTGTGGGTCCGTTTCTCCATGGGGCCTGACACACATTCTTCCCTCAGAAGTGCTCTTATTTGGATGAACGCAAATCAGTTTGAAACTGCTGTGGGGCAAAGACAAAACTGTGTATCTTTCCCATGAAGTGGCTGTGTGTACCTGTGGATAAGGGCCATGGGGTTGGTTATCCAGAAAAAAAGAGACCCAGTGAAGGAAAGAGATAAGAAAAAACAGTCATAGAGAAAATTGCCAGTCATGGGTCTAAAGTGTCAAAGGGGCCCATGAGGAGCTTCCTGTTTAACACATTTGTGGAAGTTTTTGCAGACTAATGAAATGAGAAGCAAATTAAGAGTTTTTAGATACAGTAGTAGTAAATGCTGGAGTCTCTGTGTGTGTGTCTCTGTGTGTGTGTATCTGTTCTTTGTATGTGTATATATAATTTCTTTGCATACTTTTTCAATTTCTCATAAGGCAAATTCAGTAAAATTTTAGCAGCATTTGTGAAGGGTTCTTGAACAGTTACCTTAAAGAAAGCATTGGTTTGCATTTTCCAATCATATGTAGCTATGTTGCCATCCAGTGTGGCTTGATGAAACCTGTGGAAAACATTTTGATCACAAGAACAGATAATTTTCATTAGGGTAACTCACTGGCTACCAAATATGTTTTATTTTTTCCCTCAAAAAGCAAACAAACATGTTAATCCCCATAGGAGAGAAATGGGTGTTTTATTTTAGGCAGTTGTTCATCAAAGTGTAAACTTGGGACTGAATGCATTTATAATCTTCTGAGAAGCTGCTTAAGAATGCCAGTGTTTGGGATCCTTGACTTTCTAAATCAGCATCTCTAGATGTGCAAAGCCTAAAGTGTGCCAGCCAACAAGCACCCCAAGTACTTCTGGGCTGCAGCCAAGAGCTTGCTGTGCATTTTAGAGGAACCCCAAACCACCAACAGTAAAAATATCCAGAATTTACCTGGCACAGTTTCCTTATTCATAATTTAGTCTTTGACCTTTGTCTTCAACAGTGGCATTTGGCAAGACATTCTATCATTTTATTTATTTATGAACTTATTTATTTATACCCTTCTTTGTTCTAGAATACGATGCAGGCAGCGAGGACAGTGTCATTAGGATAAGAACAAAACCAGATATTGGTGACCTTAGTGATTTGTCCTCAGCACACTTATTATGAGTAGTCTGATTGCTTGGATAGTATCTTTTTCTTTTACTTTCATTTTAATTCCTTTAGTTTACTGTGTATAATTTGATTTTAGTCATAAGCTGTGGAAAAACACACAAAATACCTTCACATATTTAACTGATGTTTTTTTCTTGTTCTGGAAAATTGTTCCTTACTCTTTTTTCTAAAGACTTATGTTCCAGCACTGTCAGTCCCCCTTTGGCATTGTTTCTCCATTTGCATTATTTCCTATTTCTTTTTTTATTTCCAGCTAAGAGCTCTCCCTCCAGCTAACGTTAAAACTAACATCAGCTTTTCTTTTAGCTCGTGAATAGCTGACATACTGCTTCACATGTGTGCATCTTTTTCTGCAGAATTTTCTATCTTTATATCATCTGTTTCCATCTAAGCATTTTTAAAGCTTTATACAGGAGAGATGGTGTGAGGTTTAACATTTTGAAACACAGTGTAGTAAGTTGCGAAAAGATGAAAATTACTTCCTCTTTTCCTGTTATTTTAACCCAGGGATGTAACCATATGAAATCGACTTTGAACATGAAATCTGGGTTATAGTCATATGCATCTTTAGTTTGCATCCATGTCTTGTGAGCAGCAACCTTTATGTTTCAAGTGAAAAGCTGGACCACATTAATGAAGGACAGACTGTCAGTGGGTGTGAATATGCCCTAATAGTATGACAGTATATGGCTCATCTACGTTTGATTTGAAAATGAATATTTGTGGATTTCCCATGTTGGGATAGGGGATTGGACCACATGAAATACCTGATTAGTTTGGCTTAAAAATATTTTATGTTTTAGTTCAACTGCTTTATAAATTTTCTAGGGCTTTTTGCAGAGTGACACATTTTGGTTTTACTTTAGTACCAGCTCAAACCAGTTTGATAGAATTTTATAAGGGATTTAAGAGAGAGAATGGGCATATATTTAAGACAGAAAATTTAAAAAAAAATTATTTAAAAAAGAGGAAGATGGACAGTCTGGTGCTTAAGAAGCCATGAAATTCACTTTAGTGACTAGAAATACCATGTTGGAGAGGATAGAAGAGGTAGTGAACTGTCTGGAGCAGAAAAGCAAAGAGAAATGAGGCAGTGAGGTGGTTGGGAGTGAAAAGAATGTACCTTTCCTTTTCCTCTTCACCCTCCCCATCCTCTGCTCTGATACATGAATTTCCTTTGAGACTTTTTTCTCACAGCCATTTCTCTGTGCCCCAGTCCTGTCCCCTCAACGGGATGCAGGCAGCCAAGGCATTGGGTCCACAGTCCACTCAATCCACAGCTGAGGCCAGAGCCTGGCCAGCCGGCAGCTGACCAGCGACACCCCCTTGCCCCAGAGGCTATTGCAGACTGTCCTCTCTTTCTCCCCCATCTCCTGTCTCCTCCCCACTCCCCGACCGGAAGAGCAAACTGCTGATGCTCAGATGCCACGCCTGTCCCCAGGCTGGTTATAACAGCTCAGTTGTTTTCCTGAGCATTTTAGTATTTGAGTAAAGTGTAGTTTGAATTAAACCATTTTTTAGAATGAAAAAATCTCAGGTTTTCTCTTGACTAGCAAATTTTTTTTTTTTTTTTAAAGACAGAAAAATGATCAGGATTTGATTCAGTTTCATTTCGTGTTCTCGCTCTAAATGGTTTCAAGCTTTGTCTTGGATCAAGTGTTTGGTGTTTACTTCTTCCAGGAAAGCTCCTGAGTCCAGCTGGCTGTGTTGTAGTCACACTGACCATTCTGAGTCCTTGATGGCTCCTGGAAAGGACTCGTCTTTACCGCAACACTGCAGGATTTAGA